GTCATCATTCACCCTTTCACACCTCATTCATACAAATAGTGCCACTTGCTCTAGGAAGCTAACATTCACACACATTGATACAACATTGGCCATGCCATCAGGAGCAGCTCAGGGTTGAGTGTCTTGCCCAAGTATACATCAACATGTTGTCTGCACGGCCTGGGATCGAACCAACTACCTTCTGGTTGAAAGACGAACGCACTTCCTCGTAGCCACAGACGCCCACTACTGTGATGTATTGTTACGTATATTATCATTACATACAGTAACAAAATATGTATTGTGTTATACCGTATTGTTATAAATAGTATGATTACATATAGTATTATTGCATGTAGCGTCATTATGTATTGTATCGTTATCGTTTTTATTTTTACGTATTGTATCATTACGTATTGTTTTGTTATGTCTTGTATTTTTACACATTGTATTGTTACGTATTGTATTGTTATGTACTGTCACATATTGTATAGTTTAGTATTATATTGTTACATATAATACTGTTTAAAAATGTTTTCTTACAATAGCATATAAGGGAGTAAAATAGCCATTAAGACATTTCACAAAAGTGTAAGCTTCTGAAAAATGTTGTAATAATTGTACCAGCATACGTTGGATAGTGCATTGTCCGTAGTTACCTTTGTCCTGGGTACCCTTCAGAGTATTTGTTGTTGAGACAGGAGCCCTGGGCCTCGAGCGCTGCACGGCTGCAGAAGTTCTGACAAACAAGCACAGTGTCAAGATCCACTGCCACACATGGCACATTATGTTTGCTTATACTCCAAACACTGTCACCATCCAAATATAACCTTATTTACCTGGATAAGGGTGACTGAACCCCCCTGCAGTACAACCAGAGTTCAAATCTTTGCAAATACCAATTATACAAACCAAAGTCTCAAAGGATAATCAAAGCCATCTAAATCTGTTAATTTGTTTTGCATGAATCTTTATTGCAGCCTTCTGAAAGCTGCAACACTGAATTAATATAGAATATCTCAAAATATTAGGGGATTAAATTAAAAGATGTTATAGTCAAATAAAAAGAGGAATATAGAGAATTCAAACTAATACTGAATCCCTGTGGGGTTCAGCAATGTGTCAAATGTTCCAAAGACACTCAGAGTCTGACACAGAGTCAGAGGAGAGATGGAGCTGCAGAAAAGGGAATGAATGCAAATGAATTTCTCTCCCTGTCTCAGTCTCTCTTTTTTTCTCCCACTCTCTCCTGCTCATCTTCTCTCCCTGTCTCCCTCCCTGGCCTCCGCAGCCGCCCCCTCTGTCTTGTTATTATACCAAACGTGTCAGTGCTCCGGGATCCCTCAATCACTCCAGTGGGATTTAAAACCAGCCCTCAGTGTGACACAAAACTCTCTCTATGACATTTTCCAAACACTATCTCGACAAACACACATACAAAATAGCCCCTCCTCTTCTATCCCAGGCTGACATTTGGGAGATTAATGGCAGAAATCGGCGAGGAAACCTAATGGGATCACTTGACTGTGGTCCTGAAGAAAAAGGAAAAAACTGCAGCCTCCATTGGGAGTGAGTCTGAAGCAGTAACTAACTGCACATGCACAACTAAAATAAATATTTCAGATGTCACTGTGCTGCGGATCCATAATTTACTGCTGAATAGAAGAATAAAATGTCCTTTCTTCCCCGTCAGCTTTCCCTTAGATTAGATCGCAGACTTGAAAGGGGAAGAATGCAAAATAAAAATGTCTGAAGAAACATATTTTCTTGTTACTACCAAAGGAGGGTCCTCTGCAGTTTAACTTCTTCTACACTGTTATCACGTCTGTCTACAGAGAATCTTGTCGTCGCCTTTTTTTTCACAGTTTGTGCAGCTGCCATTGTGCAAAAGACACAAAGAAGGATTTTTAAGCCATCACCCTTTACGAGAAACTCCAGGCAGATACTGAACTATGCCTTGTAGGCTCACTATTTGGCTAAACATCTGACTATATTGTGATTATTACATGTATGATTTAACATTTAACTTTAATCTCAGTGTTTGTCTGTAAGGCTGAGGTCTTCTATGGGAGAAGTGAAATCGTAATGTTAAAAAAACCATTACATAGCACAACCTCAAAACACACCTGTTATTTCTTGACCAAATTCCCACACAGACTAGTATGTGTGACGCAAGATACTGAACACACATTTAAACAGTCACTAGGGGACATGGGTCATCACAGCTTACATTCAACCTGTGTCTGAATGGTGCGTATACAATGAAGATTAAGATGGAAGAAGTTGTGAAGAACATTGTTTATCTTTTAAAGCAACTGCAACATATGGTTTACATGTGGGGGTTTAAGCCTCCTATCTGTTATAGAAATATAGTACCAGGGTCATTGTGGGAAACAAACAGAAACATATAAAGTTGTGGCAGTGTGCTTTGTGGGCAGCATGCATCTGATGTAGGCCTACTGTTGACCTTATAACATCACTCTGTATGATTAAAGGCTTCTTTCCATTTTCAGTTTGAAAAAGCTTATTTTGCCAAGGTATTGGCTTACTAAGTTTGCTTGGTAAAACACTTTAAAACATTTTATTTGTTTTGTTAAAGGTCACCTATTATGCACAATCCACTTTTTCATGTCTTGAATGCATATCCAATGTGTAAAGAGATTCAGAAGGTTTTTGTCCTGGACCATCTATATAAAAACCTGTCTGAAAATGAGCTGATCAGATTTTGGCCACTTTGTGATGTCCCAATGTTTTTTGGGTTGTGTAACCATTAGTCAATAACAAACCAAGGTAACACCCGCCACCTTATCACCTGAATCTCCTCCTATTATTGTGTTTTTTTAAACCAAATATCTCGCAGAGGGGCGTGGCTAGCAGCAGCTCATTTGCATTTAAAGCTACAGACACGGAATCAGCACTTTTGAAACAGGGCTGAAACAGAGGGGTTTATGGGATGCTACAATGCATGATCTGTTTGGTATTTTGAGCCAAACACTTCAGAGACATGTTTTGTATGTATCTGAGAACTATAATATGTTGTTAAAAATAGTATAATAGGGGACCTTTAAGAGTGAATGTAAACCCAATACTGCTCCTGTCTCCCTCCTCTGTACCTCTGATGCAATGAGCTCCAGACCCCGACACTGCCGGTTCTTCTCCTGCTGCAGGAGGCTCCACATTTCTGGGTCGTCCTGGGCCAGGGTCTCCTGTCCCGTCCAGCCGCCAGCGCTCACGAGGCCTCGCCTGCATGGCCCCGCTGGGACCTGCCCCTCTCGACCCAGACCTCCTGAAGCCCTGAGGAAGAAGGGCTGCACGGGGCGGAGGGTGAACACACAACAATATCATTTAGGGTTAACATCCAAATAACCTCTTCTTAAACAATTATGGCTCTCTGTTCGGGAAGACCCTGGAGAGATATTGTGCTTTTCAACAACGCTGTGTTTTTAAGAAAACCCAAGTCACAGGATTTGATGCAACTCTCCATTGTGCCATTTGGCACTCTGTGCAGAGTAAAAGTTCTTTTTAGTTGTGTTTTTCAAAGATAGCTCCTTTGGTCTCTTTTGAAAAACCTCTGCAATAAACACTTTCATCACTCAAAATTATAATACTTTTGGAAACAAGGGACTTAGAATAATGCGTCTTTTGATGTTCTAAACAATCCATTAAATGAAAGCCAGTGAAAAAAACAAACGTGTGGAGCAGTTGGGGGAAACCTTGGACATGAAACACACACACACACACACACACACACACACACACACACACACACACACACACACACACACACACACACACACACACACACACACACACACACACACACACACACACACACACACACACACACACACACACACACACACACACACACCACACACACATTTATCAGGGTCTTGTTTGTTGAAGGCAGCTTGTAGCGGCATGATAGTTACGTAACCATGTGTTACTTTGGCCTAATAGAAAGATTACTGTTCAGGCATAAATATGTGTTGTAGCAAGACTCCTTTCATCTTCTCTGTTCATTATGTTTTCTAAGCCTTGAGTAAATTAAGTCTTGCATAAAGCATACGGTGTACAGTCAACTTTTCTCCAAATATTCTGGGACAAACAGTAGCACTCCTTCCTGTTTTGACAACCTGAGATAATCACACCTATCATGGCAGCACCTGAGAAACTGGAGTGCGCATTGAAAACACATTTGGTCACAGTGTGCATCTTCAAAAGAGACGTTTCTATCATGTTTGAGGTGACCCTAGATGACCTAGTTTGCAGTAATAAGTGATTTGGGTACATCTTCTCTTCAGAGACAGTTTCAGAGACCTTCTTGTATCAGCGCATGTAAAAGCTCTAGGAAAAATACATTATTAAAAATGTACTCACCCGTAATGTTTGCCGAAACGACAGAGAAAGCATGGCTGTGACAGCTGAGGGCTGGGAAAACAGAAACTTTCCAAGGTGCAGAGGGTGAAAGTAAAATCAGTACTGGAGGAAAGCCAAGGACATGCGTACTTTGTGTCACAGATAAAAGTGACAGCAGCGGTAAATCATCTGTTGGCTCTCAGTTCCATAATCAACAAATATCTAATCGGTCACTGTACAATCAACAAGCAATGAATGCACTGACTATAGTAAAAGAAAATTATCTCGTTTCAAAAACTACCCAATTCTATCTCTTAAGTTTTATCTTTTTTGTATCAATGAGCTAAGAAATCCCATTGTTTCCAAATAATGTTAATCAAGTTATAGATTTCAAGTCTTATAAACGCATATATACAAAAAAAGTACACAAAAAGTGATACCGTGGATCAAGTGGCTGCTTTTTTAAGACAATGTGGAGCTCTCTGTAGATGCTTAGACAACACAAAGCTTATATATAAATGTCATTAAACTAAAATAAGGTCCAAGCTGCACACACTGACAGTGTAGTAGAAACAGTCAATCTCAAACCTATCATTTCAAAACAAAACACATGATTTAAAAAAAGACAGATGAAAAGTCAGTGTGTTATTTCTGAGAAACCATCATCCGAAGTGCTGCTGGTTCTGCGCCGTCTGGAAGTTGTGGTCCGGGCAGACCTTCTGCACCAGCCTGTAGTCGGTGCCGGTGAAGGCGATGAAGATGCATATGACCTTAAAGGGTTTGGCGCAGATCCAGGCCGCCTGGGACTGCGTGTTTTCTGAGTAGCAGGTCTGCCCGGGGTCGTACAGGCAGGGCTTGGTCTTCTTGGACCGGTTGGTTCTCTGGTACTCGATCCTGCAGTTGAGCTCGGTCACCATCACCACGTCCGGCTGCTGCTTCTGCTGCTCTGGAGGAGGAGAGCTGGTGGACTGGGGCGGGCTCTGGAGCTGGGACGTCAGATCTGGAACCAGGGCTTGGTTTTTGGTGGGAACACCCTCAGCTGCTGGATCCAAAACCTCCCATCCCACAGCTTTGGAGGGCGGGACGATGCTCACGGATATGTTCCCCAGACGAGACGAGTTGTGGCGGAAGTAGACGCTGAACGTGCCGTTGATGTGGTCCACGATTTTCCCCGTCACCAGGAGGCTGAACTTCACCGTTTTCACATTGAAGTAAAAATCTCCCCAGCCCAGGATCTTCTTGGCCTTTGTGGGAGTTTTGGCGGGAGGTTTGGATTTAGGAGGAGGTCGGTACAGATACTGATCCAGGGCCTGGGAAAAGTTCTGAGGCCATCCATACGGACCCAGAGCGCCGTAAGCTGGAGTTTTCTGTTTGGTGGAGATGATCTGTAGGTCTTTGACTTTCAAAGCAGCTCCCAGTGCGTCTCCTGCTTCTCTTTCCTCCTCTCTCCATTGTTGGCTCTGGAACTCCAAGGGCGGGGCGGTTTCTTGGACCTGTGGATAACAAATGGGAAATTAAGGGGAGCTTAAAGGTCTCCTATTATACTATTTTTAGGCATATATTATAGGTCTCAGATATATAAAAAAACATGTCTGTGAAGTGTTTTGCTCAAAATACCAAACATATCACCCATTCTAGCCATGCCTCATAACCAGGGGTGCACATAACTGGTACGCAGGTACGCATGCGCGTCAAAAATCTGAAATGCGTAACGTCACTTGTGTCACTATGCGCCTTTGCGTACCTGATAGGTCATCAAAACAAAACACTTATTTAGTCTACACGTGTTTCTTGTCAACACTCAGTGGAGTAAACTATTAGACAAAAAACCAAAGACATTAAGCAGCCACTTTGGCGTTTTGCTCCCTTCAAAAAATCTTCAAACATTTTTGTTTTGTCTGTCTTGTCATGGGTTTTATTTTGCAATTCTGTTCTCCCTGTGGGTGTTTCTCAATCGCGAGTAAAGCTGCTGCAGAGCCACTATTTCAAGCATACTACGTCATCGAGTGCCGCCGAAGTACTGTTCCAATCTCCAGCATACTTGGAAATCTACTGAGCCCGGCGTACTCCGTTTGGAGAAATATCGAGGCTGCACATGAGTAGACTCCGAGGTCTTAAAATCCCCACAATGCTTTGCGCACGGACCAATTTCCAAAATCTGTGGCGGAAAATGTAAGGCAGGGCCTATCATATGACGCACACCTGCACACTTGGTAGCCTGTTCCACTCTTTGTTTGCCAAATGTCAGGAAGTATTCTTGACTCGCTTCTGAAGCAAGATGCTCGGCAGACATGTGCTACCAAGCAAGCGTACTCGCGATTGAGAAACACCCAGTGTCTTGTTTGTTTGTTTGTTTGTAGCCTTTATTTAACCGGGTGAAAAATCCCATTGAGATCAACGATCTCTTTTTCAAGGGAGACCTGCAGTACATTGGTTACACATAAAAACAACAGAAAACAAAAAGGACATCACAACATAATTACAGGGGTATAAATTAGCAACCTATTCACAATGACAGGTATCTTGTCTTCCTTCCTGTGTTTTCCCTCCTGTGTCTGATTGTGTTCACCTGTTGCCCTTGTGTTTCTGCCTCCCCTGCCCAGCTGTGTCTTGTCCTGTGATTACCCTTCTTTGTATTAATCTTGTCTTCCCCTGTGCTCCTTGTCGGTTCATTGTCTTTCCTGTCTCCCTCCATGTTGGTCACGGTCAGTTTTTGTTTTGATGCTACCTCGTGCTACCTGTTTATTTTATGTCACGTTTTTTCAGTCATCAGCTTTATAAAATAAAGCTCGCCTTTTGTTCCTTGACCTTTTTGTCTTTTTTATTCTGCATTTGGGTCCTACCCTTTCCCCAATCCTGACAGTATGAACCGACCAAATTTGGACCCAGCAGATTCTGTTTTGTTGGTGAAACGTCTTGGGTACTCTCTGGAGTACATTTTTTATACCTGGTATGACGCCTCATCTAGACGGGGTAGAGTGGCTGCTTTGAAGGAGGCACGCCAGGAGGTTGCTCGCAAGCCCTGGCTCAGGAGCTTGTTGCCTGAGTGGCTACAAACTTTTACAAGTAGCCCTGAAAACTTGTCTCAAGCCTCTAACCCTTTCCTGGGGTCTGGCCTGGCCTTGGGAGGTCCGCGGATCCTCCGGAAGGTTTCTGGAAGATGCAAGGCCAGGATTCCAGCCCGTGCTCCAGCGGCTCCAGTCCCGGCTCCAGTTTCGGCTCCAGTACTGGCTCTCCGGCCGACGCCAGCTCCCTGTGTCCTGTTGGCGGTCCGGCCGACTCAAGTCCCTTCTTCATCAGGGCCCCGCCGACTCAAAGTCTTTCTCGAGTCCCCTCTCGAGTCCCCTCTCGAGTCCCCTCTCGAGTCCCTTTTCAAGTCCCCTCTCGAGTCCCCTCTCGAGTCCCTTCTCGAGTCCCCTCTCGAGTCCCTTCTCGAGTCCCCTCTCGAGTCCCTTTTCGAGTCCCCTCTCGAGTCCCTTTTCAAGTCCCCTCTCGAGTCCCTTTTCAAGTCCCCTCTCGAGTCCCCTCTCAAGTTCTTTGTCGAGTCCCCTCTCGAGTCCCCTCTCGAGTCCCTTTTCAAGTCCCCTCTCGAGTTCCCTCTCAAGTTCTTTCTCGAGTCCCCTCTCGAGTCCCCTCTCGAGTCCCCTCTCGAGTCCCCTCTCAAGTCCCTTCTCGAGTCCCCTCTCGAGTCCCTTCTCGAGTCCCCTCTCGAGTCCCTTTTCAAGTCCCCTCTCGAGTCCCCTCTCAAGTCCCCTCTCGAGTCCCCTCTCAAGTCCCCTCTCGAGTCCCCTCTCAAGTCCCTTTTCAAGTCCCCTCTCGAGTTCCCTCTCAAGTTCTTTCTCGAGTCCCCTCTCGAGTCCCCTCTCGAGTCCCCTCTCAAGTCCCTTCTCGAGTCCCCTCTCAAGTCCCTTCTCGAGTCCCCTCTCGAGTCCCTTTTCGAGTCCCCTCTCGAGTCCCCTCTCAAGTCCCCTCTCGAGTCCCCTCTCAAGTCCCCTCTCGAGTCCCCTCTCAAGTCCCCTCTCGAGTCCCCTCTCAAGTCCCGTCTCGAGTCACTTTTCAAGTCCCTTCTCAAATCCCTTCTCATGTCCCTTCTCTAGTCCCAACTCCCAACTGTCTTCCTCATGTGCTCCTTGTCGGTTCATTGTCTTTCCTGTCTCCCTCCATGTTGGTCACGGTCAGTTTTTGTTTTGATGCTACCTCGTGCTACCTGTTTATTTTATGTCATGTTTTTTCAATCATCAGCTTTATAAAATAAAGCTCGCCTTTTGTTCATGACCTTTTTGTCTTTTTTATTCTGCATTTGGGTCCTACCTTTTCCCAATCCTGACAACAGTTTTGGCAATAAGTTTTGGAGAAATCAAATCGGAGGCTTAAACAGAGACAGGGAGGTGCATCTGCAGCATCTTCATCATCTACCATGCAAGAAGTGTAAATAGAGGACAGTGAAGGAGACACTGAGGAGGACAGTGAGGAAGACTGCACTTATTAACACCACGCTACGTGTGGGGTGAGTACCAAACGCTGTCTCCTGGTACTCATCTGAGTAACTCACTAAAAGAGTTATGCACACCCCTGCTCATACGCCATATTATGTTCGAAACCACATCAAGGATTATTTATTAAACAGGAGCTCAAATGCTTTCTCTCTTGCGGGTTTACCACAAGGTGAGTTCCTTTTTATATCCGGCTTTTTTACACATACTCTCTCCAGTGCAACGTTAGCTCTGAGTGTTAGCGATGCTTGCTAAAGTAAACAAAGACCATCTTACGTCCATAACACGTTGCGCATTCTATCTGATAGCAACGTTTCCGATAGGGCCGTTGGCGTAAAGCCAGCCCACATTTTCGATATTGCGTCATATTGGCAGCAAATCTGGATCAGCTCCGTTGTGACCCCGTTTTCAGAGATTTGGGTACGGAAGAAAACAGACAGGGTTTTATTTTCTGACACTTTGTGAGTTCCCTTACACACTGGGGACACATATTTATGTATAAAAGACATCACAAAGTGCATTTTGCATGATAGGGGACCTTTAAACTGAATACAGTAAATGCAATCTCACAGGATGTGTTAGGCGGTCACAATAAGGAGGGAGGAGAAAGAGGCCAGCAGTATGATCGCAAATGAAGGACAGTTTCACTGTATTTACATCACAAGGTTGCAGATAATCGATTACAAATAATTATGCTATGATGTCCTCTGAATGAAAACAAGTTGAAATTGCCTCTGATCAATAGGTCAGCTCCTTCAGGCAAGGACTTACAACACACACAGTCACACTCATGTTGCTAATAACACATTTTAATTTGACTGTCCTCCCTCACACTCTCTCTCTCAGCCTCCTTTCAATGCCACCTTGATAATAAACTGACTCTATCAGCTTATTAATCAATATGTTTGAGAGAGAGAGGAACTGTGGAAGTCATTCTCTTTTGGAGAGTCTGAAGACTCTAGCAGCATCTTCTTCATACTCAGCTCCTTGAACTCATTCGTCTCAAAATCCCTCTTCCTCCCTTTCACCTTTCACGTCATTCCCTTAAATATCCCAGTAAACCCTCTTACATTGATTTGGACTTCTTGAAATGAATAAGGGATTGAGCTTTTCACCTGGATTCACCATGTTTTATTCATAAACATTCTCCTTTTTCTTCTTCCCTCCTATTTTCGTACAGAAGACAGACAGTACTTTGTTAGTTTTTATAAGTTGTTTGTTTTTTGGTATCAGTAATCATTTGGTTTCCATAACTCCTAGAGAGCAGAGTACTTCAGTAAAACACAGAGCCATGCTTAACTCCCACTGACTGTCCCTCAAAGTCAAAAAATTGCACATGCGTATTAAATATAAAAGAGGAAGAGGACTGTGAAAAAATGAGGCAGGCAGCCAAACTGCTGCTGTCTATATTAAAATGCTCAAATCCCAATAAATAATTAATTAGGTTAATGATTGATATATCTTAGAATCACCACACAGTGAAAGTGTCAGGCACAATCATACAATTCCAATGTTAAGTGTAAGAAAGTAATAACTTATCAAGTGCATCCAAGTGTCAGAACTGTATTTTCTCTCATTAAACACTTCCATTTTTAAGTGGAGGTGTGGATTAGCTGTGGGATACAAGTCAAAGATTTCTGCCTCTATAATTGGGCGAGACATGTGCACTCTTGTTGTTTAGGACTTTAATTCCATTTTAGGATAATATATTAAAGGCTGATGGAGGTTTAAAGTGTTTCTCCCATTTCTGAATAAACAGCTCCTAGGATATCATTATTTCTCATGTGGGAGTCACATCACCCCTAACCAGTCCAGGCCTGTGTGCCAATCTCTTGACTTCTCCTGTAACACAACGAGCTCCAGCAGTGCTTTCTGTTTCAGGACCAAATCTCCAGCTATGTGCTGTTCTCACCTACTCTAATTGGAGCCCTCTGTGTGACAGCCGTGTCATTGGCTCTGTGTCAAGATGCCAGCGCAGCCACTGCAACTGAGCAACTGTGGTGGAGTGGATGCACACACAACCTTGTGCAAATTCACCTGCAGAGGCACACACACCGAGGAACCTGAGAGCAGCAGTTTGTTAAAGAACACGGAGAACATGTTTTGTTCTTGGCTCAAAAGGTCCTTGTGTCAGTAACAGATTAACAAAAACCTGAATCTTGTCATTCTTAAGCCTTTAGGCTGAAATAAACTTTTTCAAAGTGACAAAGGCTGCACAATCATTTAGTTCAACTAATAAAGCACAGAATTAGCTGCTTGGAGGTATTCACATGACAGCGTCACTGTTAATGTATACAGAGGCTGCAGTCCACTGCTCATGCAGCAAAGTTAAGGCAGTTAAATTAAAGACGGGGGATACGAATAAATTACAATGATGCCTGAAAGAGAATTACAGACCACGAGACTGGAACCAATTAACATTTTGAGAAAGGAACAATAAGAAACGTTTTAGCTGAACTTCACCGTCAAATAAAAGTGTCAACTATATGATCCCAAGGCAGTGTTTCAGATACTGAGTCTGAATAGCAAAACAAAGGGTGGACTAGTGCACATTTCACTCATTGAATTAAAAACAGCAAGCTGCTAACTTTCAGTGAAACATTTTCAAAAGTCCAAGTCAAATCAAAAATCAGTCTCAAGATAGAGTCAAAAAATCTCAGTCAACTTCTTCAGATAAGATTAATAAGAGTACTGTCTCTCTTAACCAATATTAGCATAAAGGCATTACCATCATAAAACTTGATTTTATTATTCAGTCATCTTTTTAAACAGAACAGTTTCAAATGTATAAGAAATGATTGATGCTGATTATTTATGGGTTCAATTACACAATACCAACTAATCTGCTATTAAAAAAACACTCAGTGCATCAATGCTGCAATGAGATGAACAGCAACAGAACATGACTCCATCGGTAATTTGATTCATTTAATCTGCTAAAAATACAAAAACACCTCGCATTTTTAATTGAGCCACACAACTTTATAGGAGGATTTGACTCACCGAAGAAGGGAGCAGCCACAGACAGGTGATGGCAAAGTTCAAACACAGCACTCTCATGTTGCAGCAGCGTGTCTCCATGCGCAGAGCGGAGCGTCTCTGAGACAATGTGCCGGCAGAGCAGGTGCTGTTATTGAGTTCAAGCTGTAGACGCACTGCAAAAGTAAAGGAGACCCTCTGCAGTGAGACACACAAATCCTCGAGTGAATAAACCCCCCCCCCCACACACACACACACACACACACACACACACACACACACACACACACACACACACACACACACACACACACACACACACACACACACACACACACACACACACACACACACACACACACAGACACACACACACACACACACACACACACACACACACACACACACACACACACACACACACACACACACACACACACACACACAGACACACACTTGCCCTCCCTGCTCATTTTCATCACCTGGCCGGCCCTTATTATGTCTCATCAACCCGGGGAAAGACGGGCACAGTTTGACAGCCTCCCCGCTGTCCCTGCATACTGCCGCCACGGGGAGGCTGACAAAATGACAAGGGCTCTCACCGGGAAATATAGAAATCACTGACAAGTCTGCTAAGACTCTGCCACTGCTCAGCCTATCAGCGGAATTTCAAGCCAACACATCACTGCAAGAAGCTAATCAAGCAGTCAAGTTGCCATTAATGAAGAATCAGAGGCAAACACAGAAACCAATTAAAGGTCATGCTCCCCCTCAACATTTAAATATGGCTTGAATTCGCATGATAATGTGTAGACTATAATAACCGAGGCTCGTGTGTGTATACCATTGTATTTTGAAGACATTTCTGATGTAATAATCGTGCTGTCTAAAATAAAACAATTCAAATATGTTATTAAAGGTGGGGTAGGTAAGTTTGAGAAACGGGCTCGAGATACACTTTTTGTTATATTCCATGGAATGCTCTTAACATCCCGATAGCAATGAATATCTTAAAGGGCCCATGTCATGGCCATTTCCACTGATCATAATTACATTGTTGAGGTATACTAAAATAGATTTATACTGTGCAATTTTCCGAACTCACATTGGTTTCGCATACAGCATCTCTGTCAAGCATGTGTATTCAGCAGTATTCACTTTCTCCACTAAACGACTCGTTGGAGCTCTTGCCCCCCCCCTCCCTGTGAGCCTAGTGTGCTCCGATTGGTCAGCTCGGCCACTCGTTCTGATTAGTCAACCACCAGAGAGGCTGCGCCCATGTCAGTGCTTTTCCCGGCTGCTCTCAGCGTAACATCAGTCTTATCATGGCGTCGGTACAGCGGTATATTTTATATACATATATATTTGTAACTGTTGTTATAGAAGAGTGTGACGGCCCCAGGGCCTTTGTCTTACGATGGGGTGGAGCTGAAGAAGCTAATCAGCACGATCACGGACACCTCCGGACACTACGGCCCCAGTCTCTCTCCAAAGCGGCTGCAGGAAGACTAACTCTGCGATCCTCTCAACCACCTATCTTTGCATTTACCACAATAAATGTGCCGTGGTTTTGTAAACTCGTGTATGTCTCCTTGTCTTTCCGTTGTGGCCTACGAGCTACTCTCATAACAAAGAGTAAGTTATTTTTACCCGTTATAAACTACTACTGTTTGATGAGAAATCAAATCATGGTTTGCTATATATGAATTCAGGGAAGAAAGGATAGGCCTACTAAGTATTTCCATTAAACTTTATTTTTAGAAATGTACAAAATGAACATAAATATACATATATACACGGTATATCATCCATTCCTCCTCCTCTTGCCTGCGCACAGCCGGTGCGGTGCGGTGCCTTTTAGCACGAGGCCTCAGTAGTAGTAGAATCCCTTCCCCGTCATGGATTGTCCGCCAGGATCTGGCTGGACGAAATCAAATGCAAATCACAAAATATTAGAGAAACTTAGTTGTTTTAGATTCGTTAGTAGTAGTTGTGTAATGAACAGCTTGCCTGCTAATATGCTAACCTAGCTTTGTTTACCTTGGTAGCTAACACGATATGAACGTTAGCTTGGAGGAAAGGCAACTATAATGCAGTGTAATAAAACTACTATGAACAAAAGCTAGTGGTTCATATTAGGCTAGCAATAACGTGTTTATAATTGCAATCGTATACGGGTATTCTGCTACCATACAATGTAACTTGCATGAATACATTGTTTTGCGCTAGCATACAGCTAGCCTCGTTAGCTACATGCAGTATATGTACGGTCACAATGTACGGTAAACCGGAGTATACTGTATGAGTATTCCGTGTGTGTGACCGCAGACATTCTCCTGCCATGACAAACATGTAAGGCCATCTGCTGACATTGTAGTTGATATATTTAAACGCTAGCAACGTAGCATCACAAAAATGTTTTTCTGACCAAAACTAGCTCAAGCTCCGTGTGTTAGATCGCTACGCCAGCTATAATGTAATTACGTTTCGCGACTGACCGGCAAATCACCCGCAGTATACTGTCAATAGGTATTTTGTGTGTGAATGCAGACATTCTCCTGCTATGAGATACATGTATGCAAGGCCATCTGCTGATATTAGAGTTGATATATGGAAACTCTAGCAACTTAGTTAGCACAGTTAGCACTGTGTCAATGGCTTAGCAGTCCAACACAGTTTACACATTTAAACAGTCTTGTTTGATAAATACACAAATAACAATGCAAACTTACAGGTTGTATACCCAGATCTTCCCCTGCTCCAAACGGTCCAAACAAGCTGTGCATATCCGGCCTCAAACTGGGCAATGTTTTTGGAAGCTTTCGTCTGTGAAATGCCGGTTCTTCGAACCTCTGGAGGAGGAACACGCCGCTGCTGGTGTGGCCATAGCTCTTCGGGATTGGTCCATTTCGTTCCGGGTACCGCATGACATCAGGCGGTACCCGGAACTAAATGGAAGACTCAAATGGGCAGTGACGTATCTCCAACGAGGCGTTTTGGGGAGGTATTTTCTGTGTTAGAGTTTTACTCGCTACAGGGTGTACTTTGAGGGTTTTGACTCTGCACACCGTTTACATGCATAAAAACCTTCATAACACACAAGGGGACGGGTAATAACCGGAAAAGCATGACATGGGAGCTTGAAGTGCTTTGACAAAAAATCCGGCCCGGCTAAAATAACTGGATGGCCTACCTGCCTGTCAGCCTTCCATCTGTGCACAAACTTATCTCGTGCCCTCATTGGTCATGTGCACGTTCGTGTGTGTTGGAGGAGGGGCTCTGTAAGGAAGTGGCAGATATTTTTCCGGCTGTGTATTTTCAAATTCTAGCGCACTCGAGCTGGTTTCTCCAAAATTACCTACCCCACCTTTAAATAGATTAAAGTGGACCTATCATGCTATATTTAAATGATATATTGTAGGGCCATACCTATATAAGGTATATTTATACGTTTCTGTTTTCAAAATACCAAACAGATCATGCATTTTAGCCATGCCTCATTTCGCTCTATGTGCTGTTTGCTGTCTACGGGTCTGATTCTGCTGACCACGCCCCCCTGCAGGAGAGGGTAGGTGCTCTGATCAGCTGCTGGGCTGTCAGAAGAGGGGGAGAAAAAGAGATCTCCGTCCTCCATGTTTTATTATATAGAATCGTTATTCATTTGTTTTAAAGCTCAATAAATAACAAAGAAGACCTTTGACCGGCACTTTTCTAATTTTGTTCGGAAGATTTAAACTTTAACGGACATCTTGACCGGCGAAAGAAACTGAAACTGAAACTCTGCCGCACGGTCCCCTCGTTCCTTGGATGAGGCGGAGAGGTGGGTGTTTGTCATCTGCTGGTGGACTAACCAGAGAGAATTACAGTGCTTGCCTCGACGGGGAGGGATTGCATTGAATTAAAGCAGCGGGAGCAAACGCTTGCCTCGGGAGGGAGAAAAAAAGCCACAGCGGAGAATAAACAGAAGGGTAAACATGGTAACTATGGGCGGGAAGTCTTCTTCGCTGCTTTTGTGGCAGACTACAGCGCCACTTACAGGCCTGGCATATGTACTACAGCGTCTCCAGCGCTTTCGAGCGGCAATGGCCGGCCGTGGCCCAACCCCACATTCCCCTGATAGGTGGAGAGTTGGCCCAATAGAGTGGCGAAGTCACGCCCATCTACTTCCGCCCCATGGGACCTTATTTCGGAAAAATAATGTATTGAAGTCAATGGAGAGAGAAAACTTATCTTTCGATCCCGTTTGAATTGTGCCATGAATTACACATATGATGTTTGTCAATCTTAAAAAATCATTTCCATGTCAAAAAAGTCACAGTTTGTTGTAAAACTGTTGAAATATAAGACTATGAAAAATACGCAACTAGAAAGACTACAAATCCCAGAGTCGCGTAAGTGATGTCACAATTGTTGTCCTCCACTAAGAGATAGCTAAGATCAGCGCCATATAGATAGAATCTATCTATATGGCGCTGGCTAAGATAAGATAACTTTAACAAGATGCCTGTGTGCTTAGTACCAGGTTGTTCATACCAGCAATGGGTCTTGCTCGTTCTTTCGCTTCCCGCCTGATGAAAGGACTAGGAGTGTCTGGATCAAGCTAGCTAGTAGCTAGCACGTTAGTTAGCATTACAGCCTTGTCATTTGTATTAGCCTTAACATGAAGTAACATTAAGTAACCCAAAATGTTAAACAGTAAGAGTAGTAGTCATATTTCGTGAACCCTTTGAAGAGTACTGTCACACCGGTGTGATCATTCTATAATACACAATTTAAGCCCGGGGGAGAAATGCTAACGCGAACGCTAGCGATCTTCTCTACTTCATGCTATCTGCACAAATGGTTGACATTAAACATTAAAAAGACCAGGCAGTTCAGAGAGAATCAAAGGAAGGCAGGCAGGCAGCTTTGCATGACTTTCTTCAGGACGTGTTTCATTGTGGTGATAGTGAGGGTAGTCAATCGTTTTGTTGACAAGACAGTAGTGATGGCCATCTTGGTGACGTGTGTTGTTCTGTGAGACCAGAGATGTAGTTCATTGAGCATTTCACACAAACAAATGTGTTACTTCACAGTTTTACGACACATTTTTTTTTTTTTGA